TTCTCTGTCTGGTTGAGGTGAGCTTCATAAGTTTCGCTCGAGTTTCCGTTGCTCTTGATGAATCGTATGCCTCCAGCTATTGTCTCATTTCTGTCACCTGCAAAAACCATTAGGAATTCAATCATAAAGGGTTGACCAGTTAAGGATAGTGATTTTCACACTCCTATCTTCTCTTTCTGCATTCCGCCCCTTGTTTCTGTCCGTTAATTCTCTTTTGACACATCAACTCCAAAGGCCAAAGAAGATGTGAAGAGTGCAGGTCGAGAAAAGGGGGCGCAGAAACTCGCCGTTAAGAAATACTACCAGTTTTATGGTTACCTTTTCTGTGAAAGATGACATTCTTCACAGTTGCATTCAGAAGAACTGTGATATTGTTCGGATTTCCTGCCTCTAGAAGATCAGCTGAGGTTTGTCTTCTTCCCTGTTCATCAAACACACTTGCACCGACCTTTGTTCCCTTGATGTGATCCAAACTAAAACCATTGTAAGGGAAAACCCCCGCCTCAAGAAAGCTGAACTCAGCAGCATACTGCCATGGGGTCAGTTCCGGTTTAAAGACGACTCTAGATTCGACCCATTGATAAGCATTTGTTACCGTCTCCTTATCCCACGCAACCTTTTCGACAAAATCCTCACTTGCTCTGCTGTAAAACCCGCCATTTATAGCAGATGCTCCACCTAGAACTCTGCCTCTGAGATTGCTCACACCGTCATTGGACACAAAGCTTTGTGCAACTGATGTATATTGATCAGTTTGGAGCAATGAGAATCCATAGTACTTTGTATCCAACACCAAGGGATTTCCATATGGTGATCCTCCTCGTTCCACCAAGAGCACTGAGAATTTCTCCGACAGGGTTGCAGCTAGGGGACAGCCGGCAGTGCCTCCTCCAATGACAATGTAGTCGAAGGACTTGCCTGAAACTTCATTGACATCTGAAGTCATATGGGGCACTGTTTTCCCTGCGATTACGAAAACTGGACATCAATCTAAAATGAGATGTTGGTGAAAGTAAATAGGGTTAGTGACAAACCTTGAATCCATGAAGAACACAAAGCCAAGATAACAATTAGGAGGAACAGATAGAATAAAAAGCTCATTACTTTGAATAGTTGGTGTTTAGCATTAGAAACTCCAAGATTGGTGCTTTCATATAACAGGATTAGGAAGATAAAGGTATGAATTGTATATTCGAGTTTTTCTACCATACATTACTCAACTGGACGGCCAGATTTAAATATTTTAGACGAAACTTCCATATTTGACGGTCTGAAGGATCTCGCCCGTCCAATGCATTCCATACGTTGACGCATTGTAGAGTTGTCGTAGTTTATTGTCATGTGGGGGACCTAAACTTGAGTGAGTTCTTTGACATTGATTAGCTAACATGCGCGTGCTTAGTTCATAATTTTGTTTTCTATGATGATTTCTCACCCTCCTCCTCTTCTGCTTGTCCCTCGACAAACATCGAAAAGAAATATTTCAAGAGTGCTTGACATGATTAGCATCAAGTCATGCGACTTGCAGCTATAAAAGTAGGGAATCGTATTCAAAACATTCTCTACATTCTCTAGGCAAATTAGGTTAATCAGATCTCAGAAGCATTAAGCAATAAGCAGTTTCCATCTGGTGTTCAAACACGCACGTTCGTGCACACACGTACGAGAGAGAGCGAGAGCGAGAAAGAGATGTATCCACACAATATATTATACCTTCTTTTAATATGAATATACTTTCAAAAGTGGCATACATATATAAAAGTGTACATACATGTATATAAACAAAAGACTAGGACACGAGGGAATTAAGTTTTGTCCATGAACTGTATATAACTAAAACCGGATGGCTCCAAAAGCATTTGAGGAATCAGATTCCCTTGCAGTTCAAGTCTATTACTTTCGGTCCCGAATCAATGTTGTCACTCTGATATTTGCTATTCAGATCAAAAGTAGCCAACAATCCAGACTTTCTCAGATGGTTTCCACCCTTATCTCTTTGTGTTTGTGTTCTTTTAGCAACTGGTTGCTTTACAGATACACCGTCAGAAATCGGACTGCTGCTTCTCTTGCTCCCAAAAACATGATTGCTTGCTGAATTATTCCATGCCTTATTGTCCGGGTGGATGCCCATTAATGGTAGTTCAACACAGGTTGCATTAGAATTTTTAGGGAGCTTTTCCTCCTTCCTTCCTGAACTTTCGGAAGATGTCAAGGAACTGTCCATGGAGCCTCTCATTTGCTTCCGCTCCACGTCTTTTAGGGTTGAAGTTCCTGTTTCTGTTAACTCTGAGAACGAAGAACTCGGACATCCATTGTTAACCATTGAAACCAGCTGGGTGAGTTCAGCCTTTGCAAGTTCTACTCCCACTGAAGAAGAACTATACCCTGAAAGAGTTTCTTGCGCTTTCTTCAATACCGATTGTAAATACTTCCCTTGAGCTTCAATTCTCAGCTGAAGATGTCTCTGCACCTGAAAACAGAACTCCGGCCTTAAGTACCGATACTTTTTCAATCTTTTTATGAATCGAAGATGGGAATATGGTATTCGTTTATCAATTTTACCTCAATTTGTTCATGAAGTTTCCTCTGCACTTCCATTTGCAATTGGAGAGACTGAGCTATTTGCAAGCTTCTGATATAAACATAACAACACTTAATCAATAGGGAGCTCTTTGTGCTGTTATTTTTCCATCTAAATTCATCAAAGAGATTGGGATCTATTTCTAACTATATTACTCATTAATCTGACTGTGATCTTCATCGCTGATATCCGCGCCGAAATGACCATCACTGCTCTGAATCTCCTTGTAATCTGCATCAAAGTAGAGGACAAATATAAAGAATCGCCAAAGATTAAAGAACGAGCAACAAATGATGACCCTCTATAGTTTTCGGAATCCAATGTAATGGACTCACCTTCTTGCTTGATGTCAGCGGAGTTTTCGGACTGTTGGCTTTTCCCTAGCCTGTATTTCTGCACAAGAACACAACGGAGTTTGAGAATTACGCTTTTCGATCATGATCTGGACAAAGATTAGATGTGACGAAACTCGAGAGAGAAAGTGCCTGTAAGTGGCTCTTTAGGTGGTACAAAGTGAGTCCATGAATTCCCATCATCCTCATCAAACTCTTTGGTGTGGCCTCTGTCCATATATGAAACATATATATATACACACACACATTAGAACTTCGTATTGTATTGTATAAGACACTAAAAATAAGGATTAGGCGAGATCAGCTCCTCAGTGAAGGTCACAAGATGCGAACATCCACCCTCGATCCTAAAGAAGAGGGAACATGACCTACACTTCTAGGAGCCCCCACCCGTCCCCCTACATCACCAAGCTTATATACTCAACTATCTGCCCCTCCAAGCTGACTGACAGCCTCGACGAATCGCTGATGAAGCTCTGGAGTCCACTTTAGCCGCGGCTTCGCGTCGGTGGATAAAACCAAATTCATATTCTGGTTTTGCATATTCTGATGAACCATTTTTGTTGAGGTGGTGGATGAGAGAGAGAGATGGCAAGTTGCAGGAACATAAATATATAATGGCGGTTCTGGTTTCTATGATCCAAGCTATAAGGGAAGGGGAGTTTCAAGGTCTGGTCTTTATAATTTGTGAGGGGAGGGGATGGGAGTAGTAGTTGTAGGGGTGTCCTATGTTCTCATTCCATATCTGGAAACATAAAGTGGGGTTATGTTGGAGGCAGAGAATATATGCCATGAGCTGTACTTACCCTTTCCTCCATTTCTCTCTCTATCATTTCATACCAACTTTTTTCTAAAAAAATTCAAAAAATAATTTTATTTTCTTTGCTTCTTTGACTTGAAAGAGGTAGAGAGAATCTCTGATGCAACAAAAACAAGAGAGAGAGTTCAATTTGTGAGAGCCTTAAAAGGAGAGAAAAGGAAAAGTGTATGGTTTGTTCTTATCTTTCTCTCTCTCCTTGTTGTATCTCTCTAGTTTCTCTCTCTAGACTCTATGCATGATTCCCTGATGAATAAGAAACCCCACCATGATTGCTCTCGTTCATGATTCTCCTAGTTTTAATCATTTTTTCTATGATCTCATCTTGATGTGTAGAAATTTTACAAAGAGAATTGGGGTTGCAGTTGTAATTTACAGCCTGTTTATAGAGATAGTTTTTAAAAAACTTGCAAAATCTCTTTTTTGTTTAGTTCGAACTTTTTCTAACAACTTCTCTGGTGTCCCTTAAACTAATTATTCGTTAGTGTTTATTTTCTATTTTGCTTCCATGTTACCAAAAAACCCCACCATGACGAATAATAATGGGGCAACTTTGCTAATAGTGTGAGAAGCAATGCAATGCAGCTAAAAAATAATTATAATTATAAATAATAAATAAGTTGATGGGGACGTCATAATTGGATTTTTTTTTTCTTTTGGTGATTGAAAGGGAAATGGGGATTTCATTTTCTTTTTTATATTTCTTTCCCATTTCTTTTTGTTTTTTATTTTTTGGGTATTTCTTGTTGTGAGGAAGGAGGTAGTGTGATTGGCACATTCCTTTTGTTCTTTGTAAGGATGGAGGAATCAACGAATCTAACGTTGGATTTTGGGACCCCAAACCATAACCTTTTTTTTACTCCGATAGAAGTATTCCCACAAAAAGTGAACTAAATCACACCAATTTTATTGAAATAATAGACATGTTTGGTAATCATGACACGTGTGGTAATCATCAGAATTCTGTATATTACAGTGGTTAAAACAGGGACCATATCTTACTAAATTGATTGGGATATATATATGACAATTTAGTATTTTTTGTATATGTAAGATTATCCAAATACGGGAGAATCTAGTTGTCCAATTACAAAGGTTAATACATGGCACTAAATGCCACACAAGGTTACATCAATCAATGGTTCCTGCCTTGGATGTATCAGAGACAGGGAATCAAAAGTATAAATGCACTTGTTTTTTTTTTTTCACAACGATATTTCAAATTACCCTGATATAGAATGGTAAAGAATTTAAACTCGGGTACAAAGGATAAAACTCTGAATAAGTATTGTCTTGGTACAAAGCAACACAACCTCTCTCTCCCTTCTTTTTCTCTCTCTAAACAAATGGAAATGACATAAAGGGCAATCTACAGGCTCTCACTCTGCATAAAAGTCTCAAAAAGAAATATATTCCAAAGGGATTGTTAGCTTTAATTCTGTAATCCATATCCAAAGGACTGAATAAAAAGAAAATTTTGATCAGAAAAGAGAAGAAGAAAAAAGAAAAGAAGGTCACAAATCACAGTGGCCAACAACAAATCGTAAAAGTCGATCGATATCGGATTGATCTCGGGATTTCTTGGGTTGTCGTCAAGAGTTTGATCACTGGATTCAAAATTCAATGATTATTGATCTTCCAAGGACTTGCCATCCCAGTGCTTAACATTCACTTGGTCTGCCTGCTGCATAAATACACAAATGTCCCAGGATTCAAAGTTCAAATGCTAATTTAATTACTTCTTAACACATTAATCTTATCAACAAACTAGACGATGCATACGTTGTCGTCTTTGAGACTGTTCAAGCATTTGATCCTAAACTCATTAGCACAATCCTTGGATACAAGGCAATGACATGGTCACATGGGGAAAATACTTTCACTAATCAGGTTGTTACTCTCATCATTCCTGCAGCTAAAATGGTTAACCGAAAGATTGTACCGGTGGGACCTACGAGTGGCGGGGTCTAGGTTCCCGGTGGTGGTGGAGGGTTCTTCCTGAGCAAGCATTTGCTTCTCCTCTATGGAGCTAACATATCCCTAGTGGCAAGCTCATAGTTCACGTTCAAAGAAAGGAATATAATCATGACAAATTCTTATGGTAGTGTGGCCCGAATGTTTGAAAAACAAGAAAAGAAGCAAGAGTTAATGAGTTATTGGTGTACCTTTCTCTTTAACCAGCTGCTGTACTTGGAGCTCCTTTCGTCGCTTTAATATATTCCATGGCAAGTAAAGGAGATTCCAGGATGATGCCGAAATGGCCCCTGGTATTTTTGGGTCAGTAGGAGAAGGTCCAGTGAATCAAAAAGCCACAAGAACAAAGGTGCCTCTCATCAATTATTATGCTTCAAGGGACCCCATTAGTGGAGATCTCACAATACAAAAGCATGGAGATAGAAGAAGATGAGAAGAATATGGCCTCAGGAATCAAGAAAAGCGAAACAAAAAGAACCTGTCAAAATCCCACCAAAAGAATACCAAAAACAATTGTTGGCAATGTGGTGTAGAAATCACAATCGCTTACTGAAAATGACGCGAGCAATATGTCACCAATCAATTTCTTTATGTAACAAGTGCATGGTTATGGGCTTCGTCTTTGAGTATAAATGACGACTTACATACTTTCATGCACCTCAATTTTTTGAAGAGCTATAGTGAAATGCAGAAGGAACTCCCCTCCCCAAAATCAAAGGCCAGTTGCATTAATAATACGAGCACGTTTGTGAAGCGTCTTCGTAAACATTTTGCAACCACTGTCGATGTCCTTGTTTTTACATGAATTCTACCCGAACAAATAGTCAGATAAAAACGCTACACCTAAAAATGGACTTCTTTCTATTGTGTTGGACACAAATTTTTTTTTGGCCTAGTATTTAATGCAAGTACAAGGAAAATGTAAGACAAAACTCCTCGTTGAGATCGGATTTTACTACGATGGAGCCACTATGAACTGAAAAGAGTGTCCAACTGCAGTGAATTCAGCTATCTCAAATGACTTGATAAACAAAGCGGCAAGCTCTTAATATCAAGCTTTAATATGTAAGCATATGTAATGAGAATAATAAACAATGAAACCTGTCAAAAGATCAAACTAAAAGCACGAACCAAATGTTTGTGTTACTTCTAGAAGGAACACATCTGGAGAGCCGACAAGCCAATGTTTGGAGCTATCAAATTGCTGTTGAACTTTCTGACAATATAACTTCTCCTTATAGGGTATGCTTAGCTGATCATGCAAGCTTTAGGTTCGTTATACATCTTAGGATGTAGCAAGCTACACATAGATATATACAGGGTCTACCAAGCGCGTGTTTAATTAGCGTATAGTGGATATATTAAGACTAGGGCCGTCTTTGAGATTTTAGGGGTTCTGTTCGAAATTTGTAAAAATGGCCCTTCTTAAGATAGTTTTAAGTTTTAAAAAAGTACGACAATGTATTGATACTAGAAAACATTCACTTAAATCAAACACAAAGCCACTTAGTACTACGGTCTAGTGGTATTCCTCTTCGCTTGTATGTGAGAGGTCTTGTGTTCAATTCTCGCTCAAAGCGAATTTGAACCACATTATTGTTAGTCCATTGTGAGGCTTAGTCCACTCCCCACCCTCTTAGCATAGATAATATCATTTGTTCAAAAAACAAAACAAACTTTAGTACTCACTGATTGCATGTTTACAAATGTCCTTAATGATAAGTAAAAAGAGCTACAAACATAACCTTCACTAAATAATCAAAAGTTGTTTTATCTTAAACAACCAAACATGAAGACGGTACATATTTCAGAGCAAGTCCACCCCTAAGGACTTTGTGCCAGCATCCAGCGCATTTATCCACTCAATTAAATAGTAATAGACCCCAGTAAACAGTAATAGGCCAAAGCATCTCCACCCCTAAAAATACGCTGGCACCCAGTCTATCTAATATTATATTATTTTATTCATATCAATTAATATTTTATCATTTATTTTATTTTTTATTTTTTCTTCTTTCTTCCTTTCCCTCTCCGATCCTTTCTTTCTCTCTCTCTCTCTCTCTCTCCCTCCCTCTCTCTCTCTTTTCCAGCTCACTCCCGTGAGCTCACCTTCTCCTTCCTCTTCAAAACCTTCCATTTCTGCACGCCATCCACCCTTGCATCTCCGACGCCATCCCCCTGCATCTCCGACGCCGTCCACCCCTGCATCTCCGACGCCGTCCTCCTGCATCTCCACACCTCCGACGCCGTCGCTTCGTCCTCCCGTCGTTCTCCCTCCGTGGTTCCTTCCCTCGCGACATCCTCTCCCGCCTCGACCAGCTCCGCTCCTCAGCCTCCACACAACTCCCTCTCTGACGTCATATGCCCTCCGACGTCACACTGACGTCAGATAGGCCGGTCCCAAGGTCTGTCGATTTTAGGCCGGCCTGTGGACTGGCTTGGGCTGGGTGCCAGTCGATTTCACAGGCTGGAGTGAATTGACAGGGTGCCAGCCTGGTTTTTTGACTGGGTGCTGGGCTCTCTTCTTCCCGGTGGAATTGCTCTCACAATTGTAGAATATGTACGAGCACACCATCTTTGTCAGGACCCCACAACATGACTGAGACAAAACACAATCATGAAGAATATTCCCTCAAATAATTCAGGCAAGACCAAGTTATTTTCAATGGAACAATACAACGGATGCAAAAATACCTCTTGGTTGACATCCATGAATCCAAGACATAGCAGCATGAAGCAGGTACCTGGAGAGGCAAAGCCTTGGTTAATTGGTAGGAATTCTCAAGAAAACAAATAGGGTACCTCTAATTTATACTTGATTCATTGAGAAGTTGATGTTTTCTTGCCATTTTGGATATAATATAAAATTTTATAGATATTACTGTTACTCTATTGTATTAGTATTAGTATTAGTATTCTTATTGTTATAGTTTATTGCTAGCAGCATTAGATACAGAATCTAACAACTATTTCCAGCAAAAGGATATGATGTATATGGTACCTCATAAATCCTCATCAATCTCTAAGTAACAATCGTTCTATATAATATAACTTCAGAGAAACGTCTTCACTGAAAAACAACATGTTCTCCCAGAGAGACACACACCACATGCATTCAGTGACTTGTATGTTGAAAAGTCCAGAGACCAAGTTCTATGACCCAAACGCCGGCTGCTTCCATTCCATAACAGGAGTAACGATGATTTAGAACATGGAGCTATCTAACTTTGCAACGGTTTCACTTGGAGCCCTTTTTTCTTCTATCTTTCTAAGCAACTAAAAAAAGCTAAGAAGGACTAACTAATACTTGACCTACTTTCAACAAACAAGAATTTGATATATCACAAATTGATTGCTGAGTCCATTTCAACACTTGAACGAATAATAATTGACTCCACCTCAGCCTCCCAAACCAGGTTTTCAATACAATAGAACTCCGATATGAAGTCTCATATCTCAAAAGATCAGATTGTTAAAATTCACTGCTCTAGTTCTACCGGCACATCTTTGGAAAACATAATCAACCGGGTTGGTGATGCCCTAACACCAAGTTCTCCAAAGGTGAGGCAAATCTAAGATCCTTTGATAAGGATGCTTACACAAGTCAAGAACCCGCGCAGAATGGCAGAATGGCATAAAGGGTATGAAGCCGAGCAACACTAATTATCAGTCAGAAGATAGCCTTCCTGAACAAGCTTTCCAGGCCACCTGAAGTGCACAAATCCAAAAGAACATCCCGCACCCTGTATAGTATCAAGACCATCTAAAAACTTATTGATGGAAGCTTTATTTTCAGACTAAATACACCGATAGAAACGTGTGATGAATTTAGAACAAAGTTTCTGGTCATGCTTCAAGGGTGAATCTCAAATATGTTGCATCACTTAACATGTTAAATCTAAGTATTAACACTATGCAAGATCTGATCTCAGATTTCGAATATCAAGTAAAGTTGACATGTCCCAAGCAATGAACTTGGTAACAAAGATGTCAACGCTGATGCTCGAGTTGCTGGAGTTTATTTCTCCGTGCTTAATTACAAACTTATAAGAATATAAAGCAAATCCATAAATTGTAATCTGGGCAATTCTTCATGGGAAAGCATAACAAAATACACTGCTGAAAAGATTAAAAAATCTTTACAACAAAATAAAAGGTCATTTCTTTACCTAAAAGAGTAAAAATCCATATTTTCCTAGAAACGTCCTGTCCTACGTTCGTTCGTTGTACTTTTCCTCCGCTTCATAACGCACTTTTCTTAAAACATTTCCTTTTTAGTGACAAATCATATTAGGGATTAAAAATACCAGACACTGTTTTAATCTGTTTCTCCACGATCTTCATCCCAAGATTATTAAGCATAAACTCGTCCCATGTTATTGTGTACAATAAATCTTGCTTCTTATTGTGTTCTAATGTAAACTTGTAGTTCTTTTTTGTGTATAATCTTAAAATTTTGTGTATCAAGTAACATACAAAAGTCTTTTATATTGTGTAACTATTTTCTTTTACGTACAAACGACGGTAGAGGTGGGGCAGATTGAACCTATTATGATCTTAATTATTGGTGCTGGAATAAGAACCCTTAAGTCTATAAGCGCGTTAGCTATAAACCCCTTATATGATATATATATATAGGTTGAATACTTGTTTGGGCCATAACTCTAATGGTGATACGTACATTGTGTGTCTTCTTCATAAGACATCTAAAAGCAAGGGACCCCTTGTAATTTGGCTGCAACTCTATATTTGAAGATAATTTGGAAGGGTATATGTGAAGGTTGCTTGGAGCTCTCTCATTTCATTTGCTCCTTTATTATTGGAAAGGGAAAATTCTTTTTCGGTTTACTACTGGGAAAGGGCAATTCTGGGGAAAGCATGAAAGTCACACTTAAAATACGCTAATCTTTGCTTAATGAAGAAACCCTAATCAGGTCAGATTCAGTTAGCTTGTGCATGCAGTGTCAACTTTCATGTTGCAATCAATAGATTTATGTTAGCTTAATTAATGAAGAAGCCCCAACTAGATTAGATACGTACATGAGTAACTTGGCTACAAGTTTGAATTTCCTTCCTACAATTTCTCGTTCAAAAATTTCAGCATTTCTATTACCCTTCAACTGTAAAATTCCAAGCAAATAAAGTAGTTCTTGACTTTTGGGTTTAGACTTTAGATGCAAGACATATTTATGTCGGCCAACAGAACAAGTTGTAGCAATTGTGATTGAGGTCATGAATTTTGGAAGACTCTGTCAGTCTTAATTCTCGTTTGAAAACAGAAAAAAGAAAAGAAAAAATAAAACACCTTTGTGGTTTGTTTGTATGATAAAGAGATTTTATTTATGATTCTAAGCTAACAATACTCTCTGTTTTGTAAGGATCGAGAAGAAATGTTTTTTACGCAACATTATCTTTGTTTTTCAAATATATATTATTTTTACAACTCAAATTTGTGACATTTCGAGCACAAAAGAGTAACTTCTATTGCACCAAGGCTCACACTCTTCTTATCATTCCGATAAACAATTAAAATAAACTTCTAGTTAAAATACAAAAGCCTAAAAG